GCGAACCTTTTTGCAGATACGACGAGAGATGAAAGTGACAGACAGTGCTCCGGATCCTGCAGTTTCCACAGTCGCAGAAAAAACAGCGCAACATATTGAGCATATATGGGTCAAAGCGTCAATCCCGGTAATATCACACAAGAAAATTGTAGAGAAAATTAGAATGCTCCACAGCAGTTTCAGAAACTTGCTAAAACCATATAAATCCAGACAATGTGATCCGGCATACATCAAGCGACTTTAAAGATTTGCTACCAAAACAGATCTGCAACTATTAAATACTGCAATCTGCAAATGTATCAATTTTCCAAGTTGCAGATGCAAACTTGAGCATATGGTACCGGTTGCGGAAAGAAGCTTCTTGACGGACCAACGAAATCAACGAAAAATGATGATCGGCGGTGTTGATGTAAGAACTACAAAGAAACTCAAGTTACGACAAAAACGCCAAAGACGAGTTGATGATTTTATGAAAAAACATTGCAAATGTATCAAAATTGATGAACAAGTTGACGATGTAAATGTTTCAGCAACGTCTGATGAGGACGACTCAAGAATGGATGTAATGGATCCGGATTTCATTGTTATCACTGACACTACTGACAGTAAAGTATTGGATATTGATAGCAAGCAGCGCAAGAAACAAATGCGACTAGAACTACCAAATTTAGCTAAGATGTGCGACAGATATAAAGTTCCAGGTCGTTGTGCAGCAGGTATTTTCAGTGCAACATTGCAAGATGTGGGTCTTTATGCACAATTTTTTTTTTTGCACAAAGGAGGCACCTCAATGGTAATAGTTAAGAATAAACTTGGCAGAGAACGGCGAAAAGTCAGAAAGCGATTACAAACCCTAGCATTCCAGAAAAAACTGAATTGACTCTATTTCGATCGCCCCAAAGATAAGACCAGAGTGCAAACTAGAAAAGGTAACAAAAATTATGGGCGGATTATTGTAAAAGAACATGTGTGTCTAGTTCGCGAGCCAAATTCAGAGTACCTAGCCCACATTACACTTTCAAGTGGAGGAGCCGAGAGCATAACTACAGGTATCTGGGACTTTCTAAAGGTTAAAGGATAAAGTCAAAACAGAGGATCTAATGGCTATTGGGTGCGATGGCACTAATGTCAATACCGGCACACACCGAGGTGTGATCCGTTTCCTCGAAAAGCGCCTTGGTAGATCGCTTCAGTGGTTCGTCTGCCTATTGCATGCAAGTAAATTACCGCTGAGGCATCTGATTACTCATCTTGCTTCGGTTATATGTAGCGACAGCTATTCCTTCCGAGAATCTTGTGGAACTTGTCACGTATTTCATGACTGTGTATGCACCGCTATGGTTTCACATTAAAGTCAGGTCGGCGTGCACGGAAGGATCGCGACATATCTGGAGACTAATACAGTTTTCTAGATAAATGAAACCGGAACTCAAAGTGATCGTTGATCCCGTAATTGCCAGAAACGGTTACTTTTGCTATTCTGAGAACATCATGTTGGCAATGCTAGCTGATGAAAAAGACCACATCAGAGAGCTGGGCTGTACTTGCTTTACGGAAGGAGAACGCATCAGAAGTACTGCAACAATTTCGAGCTTCAAGTTTAAATTTCAATGCCAGAGATTACATTGACCTGGTAAACTGGAACAACAAAGACCGCTGCGAAACTCCGATGACGAAACACCTGGGAGAAGCAGAGCTACAAGACTGCGTTAAGAACAGAAACAACCAGTTTTTTAGGAGCCTGCCACAATTTCCCTTCAACATCCAAGCCACCAAGCGACATATTTGTCTAGTGGCTGAGGCATCGGTGGCAGTTTTCACTGAACAACGACACGGGTTTAACCGTTCTGGTATTGAATCCAGAAAGAAAATGAAAACGTTTGACAACAAAGTACAATACAGACTTTACCATTTTATTTGTATGTGTAGTGTGTACTTGTGTACTGTGTAGAACAAGTATTTTAAGTAACTAAATTAAACATTGCTTAGTTGTATGTATAATGTCAGAAAATTACAAAATTGCATAAAATTGGTGATATTTCAAGAGTGTTGTTTAAAAAAAGTGCATTTAAAATAAAATATTTTAAATGCACTTTTTTTTAAAAAATATTAATGTATATTTTAAGCACTTTAAAATTATTTTTTCATTACCAAAAAATAGCGGCAAACCTAAAATTGAAGAATCTCTGAAAAAAATTTAGAACATGTAACAAACTTTAGCTTTAACACTATAAAAACAAAGTAGTACTTATAACTCGGGCAAGCGAGTTATTTTTAAACAAAAGAACTGAGCTAGGTAATGGGTTCTACAGGGTTAAAGGTCAGTCCTATCTTTAAAAAAAACACGTGGATAAGATGGACCAGAGACTCTTTTATACATTACCACCAAAAAATGTTTCATAATGCCTTTTTTCATTTTCGTCAAAAATTTTGAAGCATTTCCGCTCTACTGTGCGTCATTTAGTGCGCATGCTGAAAATGCAAAAAAAAAAAAAATTAAGATTTTAAATCAAAACAAATTGATTATTTATGAAATTTTTTTATGAATTTCAAAATTATCGATAAATATAAATTTAGTTAAGAATAATAAAAAAAAAAAATGTTTTATTAAGTTGTTGCTCTCACGTTTGGGGCAGGTGGCAAATCGTTTTGCAGCCGTGGCGCAGTGGTTAGAGTTCTGGCTCAGAACCAAGAGGTTCAAGGTTTGACGCCGGCTATAGCCCAATAAACAATATTGCTAAGGAAGGAGGCGTGAACTTCTTAGTTAAATGCTCTTCCGCGGTACTCTGTGATAAATGCTCGTATTATGAAAATGCACTGTGAAAAGACCGTAAGGATTTCTTGAAGCACCTTAATAACCACCAAAAATATTTATTTATATGGATTTTTTTATGGTTATTAACCAAGCATCCTTATTTATGTTTATTCATGAACTTCTTGTTTATATTCAACATAAAAAGTTTTTTATCTATTTTAACCCCCTATCCTCAACTACTTTAACCCCCTAAAAATTTGTTATTAATAAGTAATTAATAACAAATTTTTGAGAGAGTTTATTGAATGATTACATCATTTGATAAACTCTCAAAAGTTTGTTATTAATTAATTACCATTTTCCTCCTCTATTTATAAAAAGCAATGATCGAAAGAGTTATCTTCAGTCCAAAAGTATTTAGAAATTGGAAAAATTGCATAAAAAAGATTGCTATTAGCAGTTTTTTGAAATGCTTGGTAATCAATAAAGTAACACTTCAGAGCTTGAGGCAATCGTAAGCCTGAAATTGCCTTAGAATGACATCTTTGCTTTTTAAAATTGCACTTATGATGTTTGAGACGTAATATTACCACCAATCCAATGCACAAGTATGTTTTTTATTCATTTTCGTCAACACGACACCTCTAAATAGAGTTTGAGCAAAGTTTTGTTTTCAAATGGCATCTTTGGAAAAGAAACTTGTGAATCTCCATCACCTTAAGTCTATATTGACAGTGCTCAGGAATTAACAGTGATTTTTGGTTCATCAGGTTTTTCTTTATAATATTTTATTACTACAATGATACCTTCTTGTTGTTAATAACAGCCTGCAGCCGTATTCACTTCTCTCCGTTAAGTTTAACGGAGCTTTTGTCTGAAATTTAATTACAATATTTCTAAGTAAAGAAATGTCAAAAACATTATTAAAATTTCTTTAAATAAAACTAATACTAAAATAAAACATTTATCTTATAAAAATTTATATTTTTAAAGAATTTTTTTATTAATGTAGCTAAAAAATTTTTAATAACGCTCCGTTTGGCTTAAGGAAGAGATAAGAATACAGTCCCTAATTTAGAATTCGAAACGGGAACGCTAAAAATGCCAAGGAAATCCTGGTGCGGAATAATTTTTCACGTCTTGATTTTTGAAGTCTCAACCTCAAAAGAGCCATTTGCGCAATGAGCAACGAGACTGAGGTTTTACAACGGCGTATTATAACACGCCCGCGTCTTAGTTTTTAAATCAGCCTAATAACTTAGGTATTAAGACTGTAGTGAACGCATATAATAAAACTAACATACTGTTTAATAGAGCTGTTATACATTATGTTTTTTTTTTCAAATATAAATTGTTTTTTTTTCAATATTTGATTGTGATACTTTTTTGCACTTTCAGGCACGAGACCAGGTATGTTTACCTGCTCTCATGCATGATTATAAATAAAAAGTTAATTTTAATTCTGTATTCATAACTTTTGTGACATTGTAGAAAAGATACGTCTATTCAAGTACATCTTATGATCCATGAAAATTAAAAAAAATTATTTTCGTGCATTAAAGATGTACTAGCATCTTAAAATGCACGATAAAGAAAATTCACGCTTTTAAAGAAAATTCACGCCTCCTTTTTTTTTTTTTTTTTTTACCAATGATGCATATATGGCCAGAGTGGGCTTTAAATTACTTACCTCACTGATTAGAGTTTGTGAGCACATGTTATCAATGTTGATTTTTCTACTGTTTAGGGGGGAAAAAATAAAATTTATTGAATTTTACAAATGAAAATAAGTTTTAATGAATTTTTTTTTTCAAATCTAACTTCTAATTTTACATACACGTTCACCATTTTGTTGCCATAATTACCCTTAAATAAGTATCTACAAGAATTATATAAATATTTAAGTACACCTTAAGATATACATAAGTATTTTGAGGAGTATTTGGGGGGGGGGGGGTAATTATAGCAACAAAATGGTGAACGTGTATGCAAAAGTTTATAGAATGCATATTGTTTATTTTAACTGAAATAAACAATATTTTGAAGTGGAGGGGCACAATCGTTAACTTCCTTTTATATAGAAGTTTTCTTAAAAAAAGAAAGGTCTTTTAGTAAAAAAAAGGTTGCGCAGTCAAGTAGCGAAATTTTGAATAAGTATACTGGCTAACTCTAACTTTTTAACTAGAATTGATGACGTAATTTTAGTTTAACTGAACACATGGATTAGCGAAGTACCAAATGAGTCAAACTTTGTTTATTTCTGTTTTGTTTTTAGCACAGATATAATTTTGCAGTGCCGTTCTATTATGTTTACATAACAAATTCTGCGTGGTATCGTTACCTTGTGAAAATAAAATAATTTAAGCAACAATAATGCCTAAATCAGTACTTGAATCGGAAATTGGTATGTTTATGTTGCACAAATTTGAAAATTATTAATGTTTTTATCGTTTAACAATAAGATTTAAATAGCTCACCTAACTTTTAATTGAAACAAAAACGAAAGATAACTATTATTCATAAGTTATAGATGTTACATAAGGTTATAGATGGGTTAAACGAAAAATTAAAGGGCTACTTTCTCAATTGTTAATTGTTTTTTATTATTTATTTTTAACTCATAAATTATTGAAATAAAAAATTTATAAAGTAAAAACTTTAGATCTTTATTAGTAAAGGTACAGGGCATCCACGATCTATTAAAGAATAAAAACTTTTTTGTTTTTATATTTCTCTGTCGAATTTAAATAAATTGAATACAATTTTAAAATACTAATAATTGTTTAACAAAAAGGTAAAAAACAATTAGTTTTGCAATTTGTATATCTTTTTCTATTTTTTGAAGTCTACAAGATATATAAGACCCTAACGTATAACTAATAAAGAGAAACAGGCTGGACACATCCCAACATCACAAGCAGTGCCAGACCGTACTATAAGGCAAATGAGGCAGCCTCCTTGGGCCCCCAACGTTTAAGGGGCCCCCAAAAAGTTGAAAATAAAGAAATTAAAATTAAAAAAATACATTACTTTTTAATTTTGAGGAAACATACAATAATTTTCAAAAATCAATTAATTAAATTTATTCTTGCGTAGTCGTAGTATCAGTCTAGTAGTAAATTGAAGAAAAATAAATATATATGGGGGGGGGGGCTCCACATCCATGTCTGCCTAGGGCCCCCAAATTACTCTGTCCAGCACTGATCACAAGGTTGACACTGCCAGGATGTGAAAATATGGGTATTGTGACCAGCCACACAATTTTTTTTTCCATTCACCAATCTTTACAAGATTATAACCATTTAATGGATTATTATTGTATGTTAGGGAAGTGGTAAGTGTCAGTCATATTTTTAGCTCTCTGCATCTCACTTAATATTTGCCTCTGAAAAATAACTTTGACTGAATAAACTAAACTTTTTACAATGGACATCTTTGGTGTTTATCTTATATTGCAAATAGTGGTTGAGGTTACCCCTGCCAAATAATGAAAAAGCTAGTTTTTTTGTCCACTTCATAGTTTTTTTTTCTCAGACAAATATAAATAGAGTTGTGCATCAACTAAATCAACACCCCCATTACTCAATTGTAGAGAGATTGGCATCATGACAAAATTACCCCTTCTATTGCATAGTTCAGTAAAATTTCCTTTAACAACAGCTAATGGTAAGATTAGTTGATTTTGCCATCTTGGTATGCCACACATAACAGTGCTTTTTTTCTATACTGGCAAGCCTCTTTTATCTTTTGCTTTGTTTTTATACATTTTTCTGGCAGGCCTTTTTTGTTAATTCTGACTGTGCCAAAGGCTGTAGTCTGATGTGTATGAAGATGTAGGTATGTTACAATTTTCGTTTTACGTCAGCCGAAATATGTGTAAAAAGTGTTTCTAACTTATTCGCAACGCGTTAAGGCCATTTTCTGTTTTACTTATATTAATATGACTTTTGATGGTTTAAGAAGAAATTTGGACTTTTTTTGTATTCTTTACATTTTAATTTTTTATTTTAGTATAAAATATAATAAAGCTTTTAAATATATATAACACTAAAGTCAAACTAAAAAAATTGATCAAATAAGCAAACAAAGTTATCTTCAAAGTAAGGGTTTTTTCTTTATATTTTTTAAAAACTCAACAAGACGAACTATTTTTCTTTTTATTTGGAAAATTTAAAGAAATTTTATCGTTACCATCATATATTAATACCTTACACAGTTTTGGTTGTAGAATCTTTTTTTTTTTTGAAAAAATTTAATGCTTATTCCGATGTCACGTGACGATAAAATTGTCTTATAATTTGCTATTCCAATCAGATTGGTATATCAAAATAAATATAATTTGTGGTTTGTAAATAATACTCATTTTAGGGTTGCTGTTAATATAAGTTCAAAGAAAAAAATTCATGTTTCGTTTGTTATAACTGGACTTGCAAAACAGTATTTAATTGACAATTTTACATTAGCCACTGATAAACATGAAGATAAATGCTTAAATGGGCATGTTTTGCTATTGTATATACAGCAATCCAAGTCTAATTTAAAGACTGCCAGAATAATTTATGAAAAGTTTGGTTTTTATCCCACTTATAACCAGATATATAGTTTAGTTATGAAATCCAAAAGACTGTTTGCCCATCTCCAGTCATCTAATAGAAAAAAATTTGAAGAGTTATGCAAAAAAATCTTTAAATGTAATCAACTATCAACTATGACAAAAAGTAATTTATGTGAATCGGTTACTTTACATTTAGCTCCTGTTGAAAGAGAAATAGGAAAATTTTTTACTTCTGATATTTTTCAAGAAACAATTAAAGAAATGCCTTGTAAAGATACTCTGGGTAGTGAATTGTTGAAAAAGAGATTAAGCTTTATGTATGAAACTAATGCAAAATTGAAATCGAAGCATAAAGAAAAACTAAAATTGCTAAAATTTCTTCTAAAAATTTAATATTATGTGAAAATGAATTTAAAAAGAAAATAAAAATAATCAAGCTTAAGAAAAAAGAACAACAAAATAATTTGAGTAGTACCATTTTGAGTAAAGATAACCAGATAAAAACTCTAGAAGTTGAAGTAGCAAACTTGCTAGAAAAATTAGATAAGTTGAAGGATTCTGTCATTGATCATTTGGCTTTCAAAAAAGATAGAAAATCGTATACGTGGCAACTATGATTGATGATATATGATGCCATTGTTAACCAGGTACCAACAAAAAACATTCCAATTTTATTGCAAAAATTTTTTAATCATTTTGGTTTAGTAAATGCAGAAAGTTTTCCACAACGCAGCACAGTTGAAGAAATTGTTCGTGAGTTAGGTATAATCAGCAACCTTCATGCTGCTGAAGTTGCCATTTCTACACCCAATCTTACTCTTGGGTTTGACGCAACAACCCAAGAAGGAATTCATATAAACTCTGTTCATTTTACAACCAAAACAGAGTGTCATGTTATTGCAATAGATCAGTTGTCAGGTGGGACTGCACATGATTATCAAACTCATATTGTATCTTCAATTGATGAACTTGCATTTTTGTATTCTGATTTCCATAATTGTGACTATCAAGAGAGTCGGACAAATATAATTAAAAATATTTCAAACTCTATGACTGACCGTGTTGCCGCTAATCATGCAGCTATTCAGCTAATAAATTCTTCATGGGGTAAAGTTTTAAATGAATTAAATTCTCATGTGCATCCTCTAGAGACGATTGCCACTGCATGTAGATCTGCATTAAAATCAATTAAAAAAAATAAAGGAGTGCTGTTTGGCAAAGATTGCATGGCTGGAAATATAGTTTTACAAATGAATAAAATGCGATACAAAAATGGCAAAGGAGATCCTAAAGGTTTTACAATCTTTTTAGATGAGATGAAATTACCCAAAAGACTCATTCCGCGTTACCGAGGAAACAGATTGCATATTTTATTTCATATATGTGGTATATTTATACAGCACTATAATTCCTTAATTAAATTTTTAAGCAGCGATGTAGTTTCATGTGGAAGGCTTAAAAGTAGTTTGAAAATAGACTTTATTAACGAAACAGCCAAAAAAGAAATGTGTGTCTTAGGGTTATTGGGTAAGACTTTAACAGGACCATGAATGGCATTATTTTATCAGTCAGGTACAGGAAGTTTAAGTCATATTGAAGGAATAAAAGTAGTGAAAAAATTGTTAAAAAATGTTTATCATGTGAAAAACAACCCTATGTTGTTATTTAATGCAAAAGATTTGTTTGGAAATTATATTAAAAACGATAAGGTTTTTAAAACAATAGTTTCGGTGTGCACGAAAGACAAAGAAGTTAAACAAATGATTATACTTTGTTTATCAGCTATTATTGATGTTTTAGAAAGGCAGTATAAAAGATACTTTAATTTAAATCTATCATTACAACTTATAAAAGAGACACAAACAGCTAGGATTCATAATATTGATGCAGAGGAAATCATGGGCATGTTCAGTGCTGCTAAACATCGTGCTCCCAACTCTACTTTGTGTTTTTTGTCATCAAAGTTAAGAGCAATAAAAAATAATGTAGTTAATTATATTGAAAAAAAAGATGAAGATGATAAAGAGAAAATTGTTTACTGGGCAGTAAACAAAGCCAGAACAAAGAGAGGGATGAATAAAAAAAATATTGATGAAATAAAGCTTGAACTGATTTGTAGAAATAAGTTAAAGAAGCAAAAAAAAGAGGATAAAAACCGAAAAATATTGGCTCTTCAAATTCAAAACCTTAAATTTTCAGATATTTTAATAGCATTTCCAGAACTAGAGTCTAATCAATTATCAGACCTCTCAGATATGCTATCAGATACAGTTGTTGGTAGAAGCATTTGCCATATATGGTTTAATTCTCAAATGCAGGGAGAAGAAGTTTATTATGGTAAACTTGAAAAAATAAAGTTAAAGAATGGTAAGCAAGTGTATGTTGTAGCATACTGGAAAGATAATGAAACGTATGATAATGATGCTGTGGATTATGACATTTCAAAATTCGAACTTGCTGCCGATATAATATACGGAGACCTTATGTTATCTTGAAAGTGAATTGATGATTTTTTTTTTAATTGCTGTTTTCATAGTGGCTTATATTTTATATTTATATTTGGGCATATTATATGCTATTTGCATATGTTTAAATACTTTGGTTTTTAATTTTTTTTTTTTTATATTTTTAAACTTCTTCGAGATTATTTTATAACCATTTTTGTAATATATACAAAAGATCAAAAAGCATTAAGAAATGCTTTATTATATAATAAAGGCATTTTTAGATAAATTTATTTTTTTCTTTTATTAGATACCGGTTTATAATTTTTAGTATTTGATACTTTGTTTTATATAAAAACATTATTTTGGAAATCCCCCCCCCCCCCAACTTGCCTTCCCTCCCCA